GCCAGTTGTCGGGGTCAGTTGGTGCGCTGTCCCAATCGAACCGCACCAACCGCTGGCCGGTAGCGTCATCTTTCGGCCATGCTTCGGCATCCTCGGGATCGGTAGGCCACGTCGGGAGCACATCCGGTGTCAAACGGCCAATGCCCATGAGCAGCTGAAACACTGTTCGAATCAAGTGCTGTGGAAAGTAAGTGCCGAGCGTCTCTCGGGTTTCGTTGCACTCACCCGCAAGCTCGGGTCCTGTGTAGCTAGGTAGCTTCGCTCGAGGCGGTCTAGGCGCTCCTGCGACTGCTCCTCCCCTTCCTCGTCAGTCTCGCTTGCATCACCGCTGCCAAATGTCGTGGTGAACTGGTCTTCGAGCGCTTTCATACGGGTTTCCAAGTCTTCGACGCGTATCTGGAGCGCTTCATTCGTCTCTTCAAGCTCCTCGATTCTGGCTTTGTGACGTGCTACGGCTTTGATGGTCTTGTCTAGCTGCGCTTTTACCCCATCTGCGGTCTGTTCTGTCTCGGCAAGGCTTTCTTCCAGTGCTGTTATCTTGGCGATCATGGCCCTGTTTGTGGCCACTTTCGCCTGTGGTTCATCCTCGGCGGGCATGTTCTAACCGATGAGCTATGAGGCTGGATGGACCGGGGGCGTTCAGAACCTCAAGTGACTGTCTAAGCACGATTTCTCTCCATTAACTGCTGTCTAGTACATGTGATGGACCTGTTGTAGAGTAGTAAAGAATATCTGCCTAATATCGAAGTCCTCTGCACCTCTTTACGAGTCTCCATTACCAATTCAGACCAGTGAGGATCCGAGCAAGAATAGAATCGGCAGGAGCACGAGGGACACGCTCTGTCAGCCTCCGGGATAATGTGTGGGTATTGTAGGGATAATCTATTGCATATTCTAAGGACAATGCGTGGGGAACGTTCCAATACACCTACATTATCCTCGAGGAGCATTGGGAGGGCATTGCTGGTGTATTCTATGCATATTGTCTCATTTTCCCTGGAATACGCGCGGTGCACATTTTAGCATTTTGTGCGGTGACTAGTAACCACTGCCCATACGGTCAGAACCAGAGACTCACTGCACCGTGCCGCGCCCAGAAATCCCACGTCTTCAGTATCCCCAAGCGCCCGATCTCGCGAGACCAGTATGGACATCCTGCAAGCCATGACGCCCCGCCCCGCACCTCCCGTGTTCCAGTCGCACGGAGTCACTACTTGAGCCGTGAATCAATCCCCCAGCCAGCGCCAATCCGCACACGCGCAATCCCAGCAAGTGTCCCCGCACAAACGGACCGACGGTTGTCAAGCGCGCAGCGCGGGCACCCAACTCCGTGCGCACAGTCGAGTCGAGTCGAGTCGAGTCGAGTCCGCGCGTCGGACAGAGAGCTCGACAACCGCGAGTCCCGTGCGCCCACTGGCAGCGGGTGCCGTCCAGCGAGACCGAAGCGCTCCAGCGGGCGTCGCCCACGCACAAACCCAGCACCCGTGCGCGACCGGGCCCACTTGATGTCGGCGCCACCCGCATTCAAGCGGAACTGCATCGGACAGACGAGCGCAGACGAGCACACAGACCGGGATGGCACGCATGACGGCCCGACCAACCAGAAAGTGTCCCGAGGCGGGCGGAGCAAGCGGGAGGGGGGGGCGGCGAAAAACCCGCCTGGCGCACCCTCACGGCCCGGACGAGAGCCGCCGCAGGTCGGAGGGAGAGGCGGAGGCAGCGCGCGCACCATTCCGAGCGTTCGCGAGATGGTACATAGCCGCCACCTTGCACGCCATGACGCCACCTCGCCCCAGTCACGCTCAAAAAAGTCTCCCACACAAACTCACCGAGTCGCCAGGACGCCCGTCCACCCGGGTTCGATTGAGAAGCGTTGGAAGGAACGCTGGAACGATGGTCGGGTGCACAGAGTAGGTACCCGCGTTTGACCGGCCATGATAGATGAGGTTAGATGAGAGCGCAGAGATAGGAATTGATGGCGTGAGGCTATGAGACTACCCAGCGCCAAGGCTGGGGGTATGGCGAGCCGCAGGGGAATCTCTCCGTCGAGCGAGCCCGTCGCAGGGTATACATACACTCCAGAGTTGCGAAATACGAAACGGCAGACGTGCAGCCCAGATAGCAGCGCCCCCCGCCCAAATATCTTTTCTCCCAAGCGCCCAATCCGGGCCTTCGTCAGGCCGACATCTTCCAAGCCACGACGCCAACATTCCGGCATCACTCAGTCACGCCCGCCTTGAGTTTATCTTTGGATCAATCGTAGCGGCGCAAGCGCCAATCCCCGACTCCAGTCAGAAACCATCAAGTATTCCAGTACTAGTGTCTGGTCAAGTTGCGGAATGCCAGTCTTGACGCGTACGGACACATACACAGTGTCGATAAAGTCCTGTCTTATATCTACATCAGTATTTAAAGGGGCTTCCTCCCAGTTCCCGCTCAGAGATACTAGTCACATTTGTCAGCCTCACTTGTGTCAATGTATCCTTTTATCGAATGCTACGCACTGCATCACTTTGACCTTTCACGTCAGGTGTGTGTGGGCAGTTTTCTTCAAGTCGAAACGAAAGTGGCGTCGGTCCGGTCGGGACGTTGCTTACATGAGGTTCTCACGGCGAGAGCGAGTTGTATGGTGGAGCGACCATTTCTTCCCGACAGAACCCTCCTCCCAACTACCGTGGGAGTCGGGGATCATCAAAGAGACCGCGAGTGACTCGAAGCGCGCACGAGACACGAAGCAACGGATAGATTAGTCCACAAAGGGGGCGAGGCAGCAGTCGAACGGGAACCCTCTACGACGGGGTCTTGCGCAGAGTAAACATACGCTCAGAGACCACCCTCGCGCGTACGGCCAACCGAGTTCAGAAATACCTTCCATTGCTCTCTGCTCTATCAGGCGCCCAATCCGAGTCTTCGCGGTACTCGACACCTTCCAAGGCATGACGCCATCTTCTTCCTAGGCTCGTGACCACCTGGCCTGGTCGAGGGTAGAACTCACTGGCGGTACGACAGGCTGGCCACGCGCGCACCTTCTTCCCCGTCAAGCTCGACATCTCCCATCTGATCAGCCTGCCATGCAGTCCCAGCATTTTGCGCGCAGTCATCAAATCCCCCTCCGTCTCTCGTATCGTAGACGTGCACCAACGCACCAGCAGGACAGAAGCAGATATGTAGACCGGTAGCGAGACCGCTTACAGGTTCACCGCGGACGAGCGCGTCCGGCGTTCTGTGCTCTATCTATCAAGCGCCCAATCTCTGTGAGAGCGAGGCGCAGCATCTCTTTCCATTACAGCACCGCGTTCCCCGACTTGACGTGGACGCCCCACAGCCGTGCCCGCTTTGAGGTTAGCGTCGCAGGTTATACATACATAGTTGGGACAGACCCGCACGCGTCGTGAGACGAAGGGCGCAGAACGCCAATGACAGGGGCCAAGTGCGGGTGGCGGCGGGCACCGTAGGACTGCAACCAAGCGAAAGCGAGAGACCAAAAGCCAACGGCAGCGTTCGGGTCCGAGAAACAGGTACGCTCCGAGCACGCACGTCAAGCCATGATCGGCGCCAAGATGCAGTCGCTGTATGCTCGGTGCCATTGGTGCGTATGAGAGGTACTCGACTCGTCGGGCCAACTCGGAACTGGAGACTCGCACAGACTCGCACAGACAATATCGCCCATCCCACCTGAAACAATCGTACGCAGGCAGTCCTCTACTCGGGCCTGCGTTACTCCCGACGCCACAGGTCCGCGATTCGAATCCAGCCCGGCCGTCTAATGAAAGATCTTATCTCCCCGCGCGCTGATTGGCTGGGATGCCGGGGCAGATTTACCTCCGCGATCTCGATAAGCGCTCTTCTCGCGCGAAGATGGCCATGTCGGACAGGACAGGGTACCGAACTAGCAGGCACAGGATCGGATGGAATGGCCGCCCGTCACGCGCCCGATATATAACCAACCCCCCGTCGCTGCACCCAAACGCAGTGGACGCGCCCCGCTCAGATCTGTACATAACCGCTGCCCCAAAATGGTTGTGCTGTCGCGTCGATCCGTGCTGTCGATCTTATCTCCCCGCGAATCCGCCCAGCTCAAGAGCGTCCTGACGGTCGCGCTGCTCGCCTTCCTCCTCGCCCTCGTCGCACACACTCGGTGAGCCGCCCGCTTTCTGTTTGGTCCGCTGTCTGATCCAGCCCTGCAGCGATGCCTCTCACGACTCGCTCACGGCTGACACGAACAACGCCTTTGCCGGCACGCACGCGTACATCCCGCCCTCGCCCTCCGCCAGCCGCTCGCCCTGCCCCGCGCTCAACACCCTCGCCAACCACGGCTACCTGTGCGTCCCGCTCCTCCCGCCCCTCCTCCCTCTCTTAATAACCCTCCAAACAGCCCACGCGACGGCAAGAACATCCACCCCGCCCAAATCATCACCGCCCTCCGCGACGGCTACGGCCTCTCCACCCCGCTCGCCTGGGTGCTCACCTACGGCGGCTACTTCCTCCTGCGCAACCCGCCCATGCCCACCGCCCTCCCGCACCTCGCGCCCACCACCCTCGCCCACTTTACGCACCTCGCCAAGTCCCTGCCGACCGTCCACAAGATGCTCGCCCCCTTCGACCTGCGCGAGCTCGCGCTGCACAACCATATCGAGCACGACGCCTCGCTCGTGCACGCCAACACCGCCCCGCAGCACGCCTACGCCCCCACGCAAGTCGTCCCCGCGCTCCTGCACCAGCTCTTCGCCTTCGCCGCCCCGCAATCCAACTACACCCGCTTCACGCTGTCCTCCATAGCAAAGGCACGCGTCCTGCGCGAATACCAAACCAACGACACCATCGACGCCTTCCACGCCGAGGTCGCGCGCGGCGAGGTCGCGCTCGTCCTCGGCATCTTCGGCGCCGCGTCCACCGATATCGGCAACCTGGACGAAAAAGCGGGCGGCGGGATCGACGTCGCGCTCCTCGAGACGTGGTTCGGGCAGGAGCGCCTGCCCGCGGGGTGGGCGCCGCGCCACGTGCAGACGCTCACGGGCACCGTGCAGCTCTCCAAGGCCATCCGCGCGCAGATGCAGAAGATCGGGAGGGACGCGGTCACCTCTGCGCCCGCTGCCGGGGGGGAGGCGGAGGTGTGCGTGCCCGCGCCGCACGCGGCGCCGATCGTCGAGAGCGTCTCGCTCAACTCGTCCGCCTCTGCCGCCGAGTTTGACGACGGCTTCTTCGGCGAGCTCGACGCGCAGGAGATGCTGCTCAACGCGTCGCAGGCCGCGCGCGAGTACGACTACGACTTTGTGCTGGACAGCAAGGCCGCGCGCGAGGACGGGTTTATGTTCACCGCCGAGCCGGGGTCGGAGTGAACGACGTGACGGTATACATTCTCCTGCGCGATCCGCTTCCTTTGTCCGCCTTTATAAATATCGTATTACTACTATGGGTATTCGTCGTCCTGACTTCGCACTCCATCCTCCTCGCACTTTTTTCGCTCCTCGCATTATACCTTCACATATTGTCCCTTCCTGCATCATTCTCCCTCCCCTTCCCCTTGTCGCATATTAGACTACCAATCTTCCTCTTCGTTCCGCCTCACCTTCGTCCTCGTTCTCGGCATGCCCTCATCCAAGTCGACGCGGATCGTGAATCATGGAGGGCCAAAAACTCCCTTTCCCTCCCCTGTATCCCTACGCGTATATATTGTACTCTAATGGCACTAGCATCAACGACCACATCACATCACATCACATCACATCCACAGGCTCGCTTTAATCTTAATCCCACTCTGCAGCCTGGGCGGGCGCAAGGTTCTCGCCGTCTCGGATCACTACTGTCTTCTAAAAGAGAAAAGTGTACCCGTACACCCCCCGCCTTTCTTCCGAACACCACTCCTCCTGCGAGCCTGAGAGATGCAGACTCGAACTCTCGCGGCGTCCCGCTGAGCTCCTAGTGCGTATCTTAGTATCTAATCAGCAGCTCTTTCACATCTGTCCAACGCTCACTGCGCTGCGCCGGTGCAAGCTCCAGCCTCACAGCAGATTATCGGTGTTCCAGTCGAGCACGCGCGGAAAGGGGGGATCGACGTGCGCGATTCCGAACCCTCTGCATTTTTCTGACACGGCGTGAGTGGCGGGTGCGTGCGTGCGTCTAGATCTCTCCCGCGCGCGCGCAGTGCAGAGGTAAGTACGACCTGCCCGTCGGCGTCGAACGCGACACAGCGGGTTCGACTGGGATCCCTGTTGAAATATTCCAAGCAAACGGAAGACGAGCGCGTTTGCCCCAGGCGGTCGGTTGCCCGAAGGGCAATCGCGTACAGTACATCGAGTAGATACAACGAATATATATGAATTTCTTATCACCTTATCAGTTGGGCCCGCCTGCGGCGGTCCCCCCCTGACCACGCGCAACACGGCGCGAGCTCGCAAGCTCGATCCCGACTCCCGAAATCCAACAATCCCCGCATCGCACTGCGCTGCGCGTCTTTGCCGGCACCCGGTCCACGGCGGGTCCAAACGTTAAAGCGAAGAACGGCAAGTTGAATAAACGCGCGGAGGGCTGGTAAGCAAGCGAAATTCGGCCTTGCGGACTCCGGGCCTTCTTCACTCAGCGCCCCTCCTTATTCCGAGTCGAGGCGGCCCGGGACGACTCGGAGCGGAAGACGACTCGAGGCCGGCCACTTGCCAGTGAAGGCGTATAGAACGGGACGATGAGGGCCCGCAGCCTGAGTCCAGGGTCGGTACCCGTGGCATACTACAATCAATACCCCCGTGAGTCGCGGACTCGCCGTCCTTGCATCCCCGCTGCTTGCTTGCACGCCGCCTGGCAAACGACGACCCTCCCGCGGGTGGGTCCCGCAGCCCTGGCATTAATCCGATTCCGCTCGCGGGACCGTGACGACGCGGTTCTGCAGAGCGCAAGGCGCGGATCCTGACGCCTTGTGGATCTCGAGAATGCGCGGTGGGTGAGCTGGCCTCCAGGCTGTGCGGTCGGATGACTCCACCGGCTTGTCCTCGTCCCTCTCTTTTGTGCATCCCTCTCTTTCGTGTCGGTCCATACTCCGCTCTTCAGGTGTGCATCTACGCTCCTCCGATGTGCCACACTGATGCTCACTTGAACTGCTTCGGCGGATTTCTTATGAGTCCTGGCGCGTTCAACCTCAGAGGGATGCCCATCGAGTAGCCGCACGTCCGGACGACTTGATCAAGCCACCGGGAGCTAGTAATCGCACGGAGACTGAGAGCGCAGAAGATTGTCCGCCGCACAACCAGGACTTGTCCTATTCCGGATTCGCCGCCCTGCCTATCGAGGCCCGGGTTCAGTCCGAATCTTAGCCTACGCAGGACATTCATAATATCGATCCGGTCAAGTTGTTTGTACCCTGTACTACTGGTGCGGGGTCGTGTAGTGTTCCATCCGTAGATCATACTTCCGCATCCCACCTGCTAGGTGCCTCGTCTCTCTCATCGGGATTTGATAATTTCGAGACTTTGCTGTCTCTTCCGGGTCGACAAGCCCGAGACGGCAGATGGTCTACCTTCTGGCCCAACATCAGTCATGAATAGAAGTATCGTGGCAAATACATGCAGTACGTATACAAGGAAGGAACCGCATATTTGAGATGGTTACATCAGTATCTGAGAAGGCAGAGAAATCAGGACGGATGGACGATTACGAAGCAGGAACGGGAGAGGAGGCCCCGGAGGGAGGACGGGACTTTGCAGCGGCCTCGGCCTTGGCGTGAAGCACATCCGGCTGCATGTCCCGACTCCAGACAAGACTCCGACCAGCCCGGGCCTGCGCGTGAAACTCGGCCTTGAAGTCTCCTTCGACTTCCTCCAGCCTCTTTCGCAGCTCCGCAGCGTGGTCGTGAGCGACCATACACAGGAAGGTCGCGAAGTGGAACGCGCCGAGGGGGTGCGCCAGATTGAACAGACGTGCACGCGCTTCCACGACTCGCGTAATCTCCTAGTACTGACGTGTCAGCGTCTACCGAAGAGATACGCATGCTTCCATACCGGATCCTTGGGAGAGGCAGTCCCATCTCGCGCGCGCGACGTATAAGTGCAGGTAACGGCACCAAGTGCACCATTGGTGACCACCCCAAAGGTAGGGAAATCATAGATACCAAGATGCGCCAGGAACTTCGACGCCGTGACAGCGTACATACGGCATTGCTTAGTACCCGCATTAGACTCTTTACTTGCATCATGTGCCTTCTTGTGTTCGACCACAAGAAGGGGCGCATAAAGACTTCGTGACTCCCGGAGAGCGGTCGGCTTCGAATGGGGAGGAAGACGCGTCGCAAGAGGTTCTTTGCGCGGGTTGGAGATTGCCGGCAGAGAAAGCGTCTCATTGCGACTGCTGCCAAAGATGCTCCCCGCCTCCGCTATAGCTCGATCGGTGCGCGTCTGAGGCTCAGCCACCCCCACTCGCACCTGAGCTTCATCAGGTTGCAGCGTCGGCTCGTCATAGGCGGTTGACTCCTCGTCCTGGATGATAAGTCTGTGTTGGGTGCGGAGCTTCTCTGATCCCGGAGGATAAAAGTCTGGAAACCTAAGCGCAGCGATGCTGTCACACTTGCCAGTAAGTGGTTCCTTTTGGCTGCGTGTAAGAGAATATTCACGAGGCTCCGCAAACCACGCGCTCTGCACCGTGTTCAACCGGGTAGTATAACCACGAAGATGGTCAAGGTCCTCGCTTGTTTCAGCCCGTATTACATCCGTGAATGCACGGTTTTCGGCTTGCAGCACCGAGAGGAATTCATCTTTGTATTTTTGACTGAAATCATAGCGTACTTGGATGTTCTCAGATAAACGAAGAGTGCGTTCCAGCCTAGTGAGGTCCGTGAAATAATGTACAGAACTAGGAAAGCAAAGGGCCACACATACAAAGGCAGGACGTCATCCGACCGCAACAGGGTTCTCATGATGAAGTCCCAATCGAGTCTTGTTTCGACTTCATGGTTGGTCGGCGCATCCGAAGCCGGACGAGGCTGGAGGATGTAGCGACATACATGAAGAATCAGCGACAGGTGGGAGGTCATGATTTTGCACACATAGTCGGAGGCCGGACGGTACGGTGCCTTAGCTTTGGCCTCCCTCGCCTGGAAGGCATTGAAAAGCTCAGTCCTTAGGTCATTGACTAGGGGATCCACGGGAGGTAGCTTATCCTGCGTAATGAGTCAATGAAAGGGTCTGTAGATCATGCTAGATACCATACGAGGGCAATCCACTTGGCAGGCCATGTGAAGGTGGTATATTCTTCGTACTTGATAGTTGCGTCGCTGGACTCGTTTCCAAGGAATCCCGACAGCACGGCCGATCTGTCGGCCATCCACATGGCGACATGGTTGTCCCGGAAGTTGTTGTTCCCCCACTCCTCCTGTTTTCCCCTCGCAAACCTGTGAATGCCTATGAGTAAGCACCTCTAAACGGTCAGCAAGGGTTTGACACTACGAACTCGGAGCAAGAGCGTCGTTTGCTTCCAGTCTTACTGGCCTTGCTGGCCTGATCGGCCTGACGTCCGTCTGATTTCTCAGGCCTTGACGTGGTCTGTTTAAGGTCCTTATGCTCGTCGATTGTGTCCAGTCTATAAAGGACGATATGATGTTCGGGAAAACATAATGAAATTACCATTTTACTCACTGCTGCGGAGGACCGGAGCTTTTCCCAGATCTGATAGGCATTAGAGGGCAGTATGGTTGAGCATACAGTAGACGCACCGACTGGACCGAGATCTTGATGCCGCCCTGGATGACATTTCGTGAACGAGTGCGGAGGAAGGAGGACTGATGGGAGCAGGAAGCATTCTGCATTTCTGAGCATACGAGGCCTAAATGTGCGCCAAAGGAATGCTTACTCAGTGGAACCACTCGTTGCTTCTGCAACATTCTGTACCCATGTGGCTATTGTAGACATGGAATCATCCGAACCACCATTGTTCTCCTCAAATGGATTGAAGTCCGAACGCCAGGCAAATGGTTCCGGTTGTGGACTCGCGGATTGTTCGGCAAGTACTTCGCGGACACGAACCACAAGTTCTTGTAGAGCCATGACGAAGGACGCAAGTCGCAATGTCCCGTCGGGACGGTGAAGATCGAACATGCTCGATGACGGCAGATCCATAGAGCCGTCTTGATAGGAAACATGCACGGAAGGCTGCCGGAGGAGGGTGAGGAGACAGTGTGAATGAGTCAAGATGTTCTTACCAAGGAATCATCAGACATATCGCATTCTCCGAGCCATGCAACGAGAACCTGGATCGTGGAAGAGCCATACTGATACGCGAGGCCGATAACTGGGTCTTTGACACCACACGCCAGTCGTTGGTAAAGGGTACTCGCCAGAAGGCTAAAGATGCCTTGCCCCTCACACACACACAAGAATGGCAGGAGAACCTTGTCACCTGGTGAGGCAGCGGCGAGAAGATGCCTGTTGATGCTAGAGTCCTGTGTTATCGTGGTGGAGCTTTCTTCTGATTCGTCCTCGTCTGCGTTAGGGAAGTGTCGTTCCATCCTCCCTGGAACGTCGAGCTCCCACGGTTCCCACCTTCTTGGAGCAGACGACGAGGAGAAACTGACATTGGAATCATCTGCAGAGCCTGAACCGGAACCAGTATCAGTGAACAATAGAGGTAAGCTTCCAGAAGCTCGGTCAATGATAGAGATCTACCTTGAGAATCAGCCGAACATGATTGCATACTGCGGTCTTCGGGCATCTCTATGGCCGCAGTACCCACAATAAGTGAGGCAACAGCGGTCTTGGGCATGAACTTGCACAGTGGGTTGGAGTGGGACATCGGATGCCTCGGGAGTACATATTCGGCCTTGTAGCTTTCAGCGATATCAGCGTCGTAAATAGAAAGAGCAGGCACAAGACCACTCACAGTGAGAGAGCATCTGGTAGATAAATTGAAATCAAATCGCGTAGAAAATGCGCAATTACGGGTGTCTTGGAGATTGCATCCTGCGGTATGTCGGGCTCTACCAGAATCGACGAACGCAGGAGGGCCGTGGTGCATAAGGCCAAGTCAAAGGACAGCCGCAGCGCATCGGTAGAAGTGGCATCACACGACGACGAGGCAGAGCACCCTGTCCGGATGAGGGGTCTTTGAGCTTTCAATTCCGCGGCAAGTGATCGACAATGTCCTGACGTGAACGGATGTGGGCCCTACATACAGAGGAGGTTAGAAGTTGCCTTAAAATGTAGTAACGAGTCGTACATAGTAGACCCAGTCAGGTAGCGGTGCCCTCAGTGCATTGCTTATAGACGTTGCTTCTGGTGGCCACTCTGTAGGAGAATCAACTGGGTGAAGGATGACGTTTCCCGAGTCGCGCCAGGAGTGCATCGCTAAGAGCTTTCAACCCGTTTCAAATGAAACGGACGTGTAGATCAGGTACGAGGAAACTGTTGCACATACGAGGACTTGACGGTGTGCAATGACGATCCTAATGATGGCTAACATGCGGCCAGCCTGAGTGTGACATGGCGCGTCCGGGCACGTGATAGAATCTGTGACACTCGCACAAGAACGAGTTTCAACGTGAATGTTTCTTCTGCCAGTGACGGTTCTACGGGTAACGAGATAGCCTGTCTGTACAAGTAGTAGTACGTCAATATTAAACATCGCTCGGATGTCCGTTCTCCCTGCTCATCGCTCAACTGCCACTACACGTGCGCCTCCCCCCCAGGCCCTCGTCACCATCCACACTCTGAGTCTTAGGCTGCCCAGGAATCCCGCACAACGGGTCCTGATTCGAGTTTCACTTCCAGAGAAACTTCTGTGGTGGATGACGAAGGGCTTGCTACTTGGTATCTAGCATGCGAAGATACGTTTACGGACGTAGTCATTGAGCGGGTAAATGAATAAAAGAAGTATTCAGATTGTAACTGACTGCAGAGGCGGGCCGTATCAACAACACTTCGGTGCAGATGCAGAACCAGTGCAGAAAGCAGACGGAACTTGAGAAACGTATTCATACTGACTATGTCGCGACAATCCCTGATATCACCCAGGCTCATGTTCACCAGAACTCCGCCTCGTGCAGCGACGGCCACTCCGTGCGAACGAGTTTCGGACCATTGACGATGTAATCGTCGGTCGTCCCTTGGAGGCCATGAGCCTCCCCATCCCGGTACAAAGTGTAATGAATGCATAACGCACCGGGCTGAATATTGATGAGTGCGTAGTTCTCGCCCGAGAAGAAGTACGCTTCGTCCGAGTTGTCCGGGTTGGGAAGCACTGCGTCGACAACGTCGAACCCTGCGCTCGCGAGCGAGGGCCAGTTGTCCCTGATCGACTTGGGCCCGTTGATGATATAATCGTCGTTGGTCCCTGTCACAACAGCTTCAGTCTCGATCGACAGCGGGGGACGAGCATACTCTTGCACGATGAGCGCACCTGGTTGGATATTAATCAAGACATACTGGTCGCCGGAGAAGAAGTACGCTTCTTCTTTGTTTGCTGGGTTCGGGAGTACTGCATCCACGGTGGTAAAGCCCGCCTCCCGCAAGGAGGGCCATTCCTGAGCAATGTTCTTCGGACCATTGATGATATAATCAGCGGAGGAACCTGTCACATGGAAGTCCCCATAAGCACGCATGATTGTAACATCGCGCCGGCGACCGGCAGTCGTAACATACCGGGCATCGTATCTATTAGCGCGTATTCCTCCAAACAGAAGAAGTACATCTCCTGAGAGTTATTGGGGCTTGGCAGCACCGCATCGATGTTGCCAAAGCCCGCGCTCAGCAGCGACGGCCAATTGCCGACGAGGGCCTGTGGGCCCCATGCAATCGTGTCGCCCGTCGTCCCCGGGTTCACGTCAATGACGACGTACCGATTGGAATAGAAGAAATACGCGCGGCCGCCGTCCGATGGGTGGAGCATGCAGGCGCGGCTCGCGCGCGGGGCAGGGGTCCCCTCCAAGTTGTCGTCTGGCTCTGCATCGCCAGCCTCGCGCATCGCGTCTTCATCGGTGGAGCGGCGCCTGCGCCGGAGCTCGCCGTCTTCGTATGGGTCACGCGGCGGTGTGTCGGGGCGTCCTCCGACGTCTGGGTCGACGGCGCCGTCGCGCTGGGTGAAGAAGATGACGGGCACCTGCAGTCCCCGGATGGGCGCTGGGTATGCGTCGAGCGGCGGGGTGCTGGCGGCCGGGTTGGCGAGGTTGTCGAAGCGCGGATTGTCCCATATCCGGAGGAGCCTGCCGTCCCGGAATTCCCGTGCGCTGCGGATGAACTGGGGCAGGATCCCACCGGGAAACGCGATCTCGTGCTGGTTGGCGTATTCGTGCTCGGTTCCGAGGACGTGGTTGACCTCGATCCCGCCGTAGGCGAACACCTCGTATTCGAAGCGCACGCTCCTCCGCGGCTGCCAGCGCACAAGCCTTCCGGCGTCGTTGCGGTAGTACCTGGCGCACCGACAAGAAACATGTCAGTATCAGTAATTGCAGCTGGTCAAAGCGGGAGAGCGTAACCTCGCGGTGCCGACAAAGATTGAGTTCCTCGTGGAGCTCCCCTCTGCCACATAGCTGCCGAGATCGAATGCGGTGGTAGGATACTCTCCGTCTTCCGGCGTAACCCAGGGCTGGAACCCAAACCAGAACACATCGTTCGGGTGTCGATCATCCCAGCGGATAAGTCGCTCAACGGGAGTCGGGACGACCTGTTGGGAAGTTTCATCGACCACCTCGGCCGGGCGAAAGATATCGTCTCCGACCCCAGGATTATTCTGAAATGTTGCCTGTAGGATATTGCGTATCACATCGTCCGCGCGGTCGCGGAACCATGGGATGATCGAGGGAGTGAAGAAATCTTGGCTCATCGCGGTTCAGGTCTGTTATCAGTATAGATATGTATGTGTTGGCCGAGAAGTCGTCAATGATGAGCACTTGGCCGAAAACGTGATACCTGGACCTCACCCTATAAAAGTAGAGCGTAGCAGTGGAACTACCAGAGAGGTCCGTGACTAGGCGAAAGGAGGGAATGGTTTAGAAGGAGGACTTATCACAGCCTTTTATATCCTTCTGTCATTATACAGTTAGCCACTAGAGCCTGGACGAAGGTCTTGTTAACAGATCCCTTTAGTTAGCTCAGACCGTGACAGGCCTGGGTATCTTCAAGAAAACACTCAATGAATGGAAGTACGTTCTGTACCTTTCCGAATTATAGATCTTCATGTTCTCGTGTTCCTGAGAGGGCGCTACCAGATGAACGCATGCTAGTCGGCGTCCTGACCACTCTGGGTCCGGCTAACATCAGATTCCGTTCTGAGCTTACACTAACGCGGATATCTCGACTTATCCCTGGCCGTGTAGGTGTGCAAAAGAGCAAGCGACACATGCAGCGGCGGATAGAGCCTATGACCCTCTCGCTCGCGAAGCCCGTCGTTGCATCATACCAATTGAATTGGAGGTAACAGGAGAAGTTCTTCCGAATTGAATGTTTGACAGCGGGGCGCTCGGAAGGTGGAAGACACCGTACTCAGCTACGCCTGGGTCTCCCAATGGCAAGTACTTATCGGGTCCTTCGAAGGCAGATAACAGGCAGCGCCTCATAGCTAAATATATATATATAGCACCCGTGTGAGGACTATCCTTTCGGAGACGATAGTAGTAGATTACCGAGTCCAAAATCTGAAGCGGATGATGCCGTTGCCCAACATAGGCGGGCTAGCGCGGAGAAAACAATCAGCAAAAGAGCGTATGTGGCCAATAGAACTCAATGGACGAATGAACAAGTCGGACGCACTAGGCAACACAGAATGGCAGAGGCTACCCCTGGTAAACGAGGAGTGTATACTGCATGTCCCACACGACGAGTTGAAGCGGATATGGATGTAGAGCGCCGCGAGGCCAGGCGCCCCTCGCCGTTCATGTTCGCCAGGCATGTGTAAGGTTTAGACGTAGCCTTGCTACGCAGTAAACCCACGAGAAGAGAAACTTAGAGTTCACGCGAGTCAAGAACCAGAACGAATCTCAATTCCTGAGGGGTGAACAGAAAATCTCTACCCTACGTACAAGTAGAACGAGCCTTATATACTGCTAGCTAATAGTCCATGTGGTAGCGTAGACGATAAAGGTGTTGTACCATACGTTTTAGGTACCGAATCCCTAAGATAACAGAATAAACCAAATATATGTCTATAACGGGAAGTAAGATGATTAAAGCGGTTTCGAATGTGTTTTCTGAGTATGGGTATCCCTTTCAGCATGAGATCAGGCAACCGGTCTCTGGCGGATATCACGCTGAATCGAGTCAGTATTGCATGCATAGCCATTTCATAGCCGAAGGCCTACTTAGCACCGCATTTGTCTGCAGCGGCGCTGAACGCCACACTCCTGCATGGTTGTCCACACATATATCGCGGGTACAGCAGAGCAAATCGCGGCAGGAAGCTGGAACGGCCAACACAAGGCAAGCACTGAGTAGAGAAGAAGCATGATGAGCAAGGGCCGTACACTCCGCTGAACGTAAAGCAAGAATACGTCCTGCTCGCCATTGTACTACATTTGCAACGTCGGCCAAGCATATCAGGTTTCTGGAAACCAAGCCGATTGGAGTGGAGCACACCAGGCCTGAGTACAGTCGCATCTTCAATAGTGAGCAGACACCAGTAAGCCCAGCCGCCTATCTGAAGATCACTGCCCCAACATGCATGCAAGAAAAGACTTGACTTGCGAGCCACACCTGCGACAGTCCTGCGAATCTCAGGTTGCATTCATACTATGGACGATAGCTTGGTATCACAATGAGTTATAGCCTGGCCGGGTAGACGTCAATTCCCTGTGACTCGCATATCACAGCTTTCGCAGAACCTCCAATTGAAGTGCATATGTACCGCGGTCGCCCGCGGACGTCCTTGCATTAACTCCGAGATTCTGTGTTTGCGTGAGCCTGCATCTTTCCGCCCCAACTATATCAGCTTCTCATCCAGAGTCCCCAGATCTGCCTTGGCCCTCCCGGAATCCCTAAGACATGCACGCCTCGGAGGTCTATAGTTTACTATTGAGGCGCAGGAGGCGCCGCGGAAGGGGATGGCTCATGATTGCCTCCCAACCTTGAGTAAATGGTGATCCGTCGCTCCTCGAGCTCCCTCGTGATCTCCGATACGTCGCTCGCAACAGCTTTCCTATAGCGAGGATATGAGACCGCCCCGCCCTTGACTGCGTTGAAGTCGGGACAATTCAATTCCCTCCAAGTGAAAGAGCGGACGTGATTTCCTGTAGGCGCAACAAGCAACAGAAATAATCTGCACTTACCAGAGGACTTCAGTATCGCCGGTGACCGGGCAGCGACAACTTCCTTTACGTAACCTGCCAGACCAACCTCAACAGGCCGGAAAGCACAGATTCTATCATACGTTCAAGTGTCTCGTGTCTCATGGCAACCGTCAGGGTATTGCAACATGCGGGAGTGCAAGGGAGGCGAAAGCAGACGCATACCGAGAGCTCGATCGGAACCCACGATTCGCGTCCGCACGGGGTATGGACTGGTACAGGCCGTAGTGCGCGTGTAGGCCCTCCCTCCCACGGACAGCCACGAAGCGGGGCAACGTCTTGCATCTCAAGACAGACTCGAGGACTAGCTTCGTGTCGCACGACGTCAGTGATGGGAGAACGAAGTGACTCGCAAAGGAGGCGTATCCAAGAAGGTTTAGCACACCTACCAGCCGAGCATCGAAAGCGCGATTTGATACATAGATACCTCCTACTTGCGGATCTCTTCTCTGATTCTGGCGAGCGCCTCGGGACCAAACAAAGACCATCCGGCTCGGCTCCGAAGGGCCTTCCATTCCCCCGGAAATCCGACTCGCGCGGTCAGATGCTGCTGACGCCACGTGACTTGTTTTTCCATCTTTTCCAGCGACGCTCGGCAGAGCACGATTCGGCGTTCCACCTGCACTCTGGCAGCGATGCACGACGCGCCCCGGCGACCTGCAGCGCGAGTCGGAGTGCTGCTACAGTCTTCGGCAGTGTATCTAGTTCGATCAGGAGCTCGCTGTATGCTCCGATGCGCCTCGAGAGCCCGCGAGCGACTTCACCACCGAGGAATCTATCTGGAGGGGTGACAACGTCGCCCGAGTGCGCCAAGAGTGAAGCACTCAGACATGATGTTCAAATGGAGGAGCAAGACAAGAGGTAACCCTGATGTCGGTTCCTGGTGTAGAACTTGAACAGCCGGACTCGGCGCGGGTGAGGAGATGTCGCGCGGGTCTTCATGTGTTATATGCTACATAACCAGTCGCTGTGTTCTCCAGGGAAAGCTGTGATTCCTTCCAGGTGATTCTTCCGCGCAGCTAGCACAGCGCTTTGATGCGAGTTCTTTCACCTGAGCGCCCGCTGTATCCCAGCGCACCTTAGGAATAGAATCCCCTATCAAGGTAAAAAGGTGAGAGATCGGGGATGCTTGGATGAAGCCAAGTCGCACTGGCCCACGTCTTGATCGCCCGCCAATCTCCCTCACTCGGGGGCGAAGCCAACTCGACGTCCAAGTGACACGAGATATTTGCTGATTATTGAGGAATTGTCCACACTTCAGAAGTTACGATATTTAGGGCCGGGCAGAAGGTTGTACGGAAGGGAATTCCACGGGCTCTGATTGGCTAGGAATTCCCTACCGTACAACCTTTTGCCCGGCCCTAATGACTGCAACTCCCAAAGTGCCAGGACGATGGAACTATGGCAGCAGGAAGGGCAGTTCCATTCCAAGGTTGCATGCGAGATTTAGCACTGAGCCTCGGCCACTGAGCACGTCCCCCGTTCCCCGGCTTCTAAGTACTCGACTCCTCCCCGTCAATCAGTGCGCCGCGAATCCGAATCGTCCCAGCTCTTACGGGTACACGATAGTCCACGGAATCGACTCCGTGTCCTGCGAACAATACTTACCAAGGAACAAGGGAGACACCCCCGCGCACAGTTCATGAAATTGGGACATGAATGTGAACTGAGCAAGCCGCGAAAGCGCCAGAAAGGCACATGAGACAACATCGGGCTGCGTTTCCTATCGCCGGAGCGTCTCCCGACGCACGTCCTGGAAAGCTGGTTGTACTCGAGGCCGGCGCCGGTAGCTGAGCATGGTCGCTGGCGACCGCATACAAGAATGGTGCGAAACAAAAAGCGCTGGGGGATCCGAAGGGTCGAAGACCTGGCCACCACCGTTCCGAATCACCTCGACCGTCCGCGGGGACTCCGCGGAGCGTACACGCGCGAGGGACATCGACGCCGGCGTTGCTTGGTTCCCCGTCGTGCATCTTGTCCTGTCCGACGATGCGCAAGGCGCATATATGCTGCGATTAACTTGGCTAGTGGATGATTTGGAATCGGGGGAAAAACGCATCTTGGCGTTTGCTCCGGACGAAGCCAGGAAGCAAGTGGACCCTCTGCAATTGCTTCCAAAAGTGCTCCCCCAGCTTCGTTTCGGGCAGGGGAGGTGCATAGGGAGCTCGAGCCGGGGTAATTATTTTTGAGCTGCATGATAATATCAAGAAGAGACAACGACGCGGCGCAATCAACAGGGGACAGGATGTACAGAGGGGGGCTTCGTCTCGCTGAGTGCGCAGAGAAGGCTGGCCTTCGATTGGACCAGGGCGGGACTATATCATATATCCGGAGTCGGTGCCTTGCCAATGCCCTCTCTGCCGCCGTAGACGAAGACATGGAGATCGCGTAAAGCCAATCGAGATCTCGGAAGGAAATGGCACCCAGAGTACTGGCCAATCAGGGAGAAGATAGATAAGGTCTTTCATTAACGCGATTGGGTGCGATCCGAGTCCAATGAGCCACGAGTCCCACGACTCGGCGAGGCAACAGCTCATACTGCGAGTGCGATCTGTAAAGCATATATTGAGCTCGATTCTCGACGATTGTCCAGCTTTTTCCGAGTGTAGCCAGGAGTGTCGAAGAAGATTTTCATGTGGCTCAAGTCGATCAGTGTTAGGCACGACTCGTTGACTCGCCGACAGACTCGGACGCGAGTCGCCGGAAACAGCCGGGTTGTCGCGCAGCCTAATTTCCTGGCAGTGTCATGTCTTGACATTTGCCTTGTCTCGCGACTCATGTACGAAATTACGCTGTTTTGCTCTGACGTCTCTGAGATGCGCACAGAGTCTCTGAAGTCTGTCAGGATTGTGGAAGGCTTGAACGGCGCACACAGACCTTCTCAGGTTCAATAGATGAAGTAGACGTTGCGCGTAGGATGCAGCCTCGAGCCCGCGGAACCGGTAGCACGGTACAAGAGGCACTGCTGTAAACTAGTCTCAGGCACTGAAGATCAGAAACGCGGTAAGTACCTTTCCCGTACCGTGGATGACCGCGCGAACGACTGCAGGTGAGCTTATAAGACTGCATTCCGCCTCATCCAACCGCTCACCCCCTTCGTCTTCGCCCTACCCTTCTTTCCCCGACACCAAGCCCATCATGCCCGACAAACGCCACGCCTGGGTCAACGTCCGCAACAACACCGGCAAGCCCATGGTCGGCATCTCCCTCGTGCACAAATACAGCAACGTCTACAAAGAGGACAAACAATGGGGACGCCTCGAGCACGGCGCGACGACGCCCGAGCCGCTCGGCGTCGACTACAACACGGGCTTCCTCACGACGGGCCGCGACTGGTGGGTTGTCACCTGGTTCCAGGAGGACATGAAGTACATCTGGTTCTCCGCGTCGATCAACATGCGCGGGTTCTTCGACTTTGCGGACAACCTGCTGCCGGAGGCGATCGCGGGCGCGACGGGGCCCGGGGCGGTGCTCGCGGGCGCGGGCGCTGCTGCCGCCGCGAAGCTCGTCACGAGCAATGTGTTCAATGCGGAGGGCACGGAGGGGTTCAAGCAGCATATGCTCGAGGAGGAGGACGAGGGGGATCTGATGGAGATCGTCGTGAACCTTTCGACGGTCGAGTTTAAGAGCAAGAGCGGGACGTCCACAACGGATGTGCGAGGGATGGACGCGCCGAAGAAGAAGTTTTAGCAGCCGGGAAGAGGGTGAGTGGTTATAATTCTCTTTTGTAGGACGGGCGAACTGAGTTTCTATAGAAGAACTTAGGACTGAATCATACTTTCGATGGCTTGTCATCGTATCGCGTTCGTTTCGCTGGGTTTGGGGTCAACGTTGTATTGTAGTCCTTTACTAGTATCTGCGCATCACTGTGTTGGGTTAGGGTTATCAAGAGGGTTCAAGCCTGAGACTTGCGTCCAAGATGGCTTGCGGCGCGTACCCTTGGACCCAGAGTCCATATCCGGACCTCGCTTGGCCGAACATTTCAACGACTGTGTTCTCCTGTTCTTTCAATGTAGCCATAAGCCTGACGGGAAGATGCTTGGACCAGCCATGGAAGCCTGAGTAGCGGACGGGCACCAGGATTACTTGCTTATGATAAGCTCCCACGACTGTAGTGGAGGTCAAGGTCATTCCGACCTGCCAGGGCACATTCCCGCCACGAAGGAGCCCGATTGAGCTCGAAGTCACCGCCCGTGGGCAGTCCCTAGTCGAATGAGAGGCCCGAGCGACGTACCTAAGTCAAAGTAAGCGTCGAATCCAGCCCGCTTTCTATTTCTTTGCTCGAAGTTCTCGAACGTTTGGACTTCGGTGCGTCAGTTCTCGCGCCTTCTTCCGGCTGAACCTGGACACTGTAATTATCTGCAACACCAGATAGCCTGTGTAGTACGGGTGGCCACGACGTCTGCTCCGCGAATCTCTTCTCATACGACGCCCAAGGGAGCCGCGACCTTACTTTCACCAATCTGGGCCCTCTAGCCAGACAGTCTCCGCAGACGTCAATAGCTTGTGTCACGGCTGGTCAATATAAATACTCTTATTCTCGGGCGGGACGTACGCGTAATAGCATGCGATTCTCGGCACCTCGGATGGAATGCAGCATACCTTGCGTACATGATCTGTTTCAGGACTTGAACTTGAATGCTCCAAGTACAATTGGAAGAAGATGGCCGCCTTCCGGAAAACCTGCCAGTGGGATGAATGACGAGGTTTCTTCCGACGTACAAGGCTTACCTAGAGTCAAGATACCTCCGGTTTCTCAAGCTTGAATCCCGGCGCCCGAAAGAATAGCGATCAGCATTTATTATCACTCATAACTCCAACCATCTATTGCAAATATGCCTACCATACGTTGAGACGACTAGAGGAGCGTTCAGCAGTGGTATTGTCTCTGAGCAGCAGAGCCGCCATCGTGTCGGCGTCACGGCCCCATCACGTGCCGGAGCGCGCCATGTCACAACCAGGCTGGAGTCACGTTCGATCGTCACTCTGCACCGTCAAGCCCTCGTGCGTGCAATAGTTCCCTCTTCTCTTCCCACCGAGTCCCTTGTTTTTGAATTGGGTTGATTGCTTTTAGGGATGCATTCCTGGCGCGACATAGGAAACGTCATCCTGCACCCAGTGGATTCTGCTGCTCAGTGGCCACCGGAGGCCACGTCCGTGAGCAATGCACTGAAAGCACCCCTACCTGACTGGGTCTTCTATGTCTGACTCGTTATTAAACTATAAGACGACCTCTAACGCTCTGTTGATGTAGGGCCCGCACCCGTTCATGTCGAAGCATTGCCGGCCACTTGCCGCGGAATTGAAGGCTCAACGACCGCTCGTACGGACGGGGCGCTCTGCCTCCTGTTCACTGGAAGATTCTTCTAGCAATGTGCTACGGCTGTCCTTTGACTTGGCTCTGTGCGCTACGGCCCTTCTGCGCTCGTCGATACAGGTAGAGCCCGAGATGCCGCAGGATGCGATCTCCAAGACACCGATAATCGCGCACTTTCTGCGTAATTTAATCTCAATATATGCACCAGATGCTCTCTCGTTGTGAGTGCCCCAATACCAGCCCGTTTTACTTACGCTGCTCATACAGTTCAAAGCTACGAGGCCGAATACGTGCTTCCAAGGCACCCGATGTACCAGTCCAACCCATTGCGCAAGTTCATGCCCAAGACCGCCATTGCCTCGCTTATTGTGTGTAGCGCGGCCATAGAGATGCCCGATGACCGCAGTGTATGCTCGACTTCCACAGATTCTCAAGGTGAATCTCTATTGTGCTCAGAGCCTTTGGAAGCTTATTTGATTGTCAGACGGTACTGGACCCAGTCTGGACGATCTCAGTGATCACGCCTCCTCCCCATTGTCCGCTTCATCTGGACGGCTGCGGCGGAAGAACGAGGCAGCGGATTGGTTGGCGAGACACTTGCACGATGAAGACTCGGAAGAATCCGACGAATCGGAAGATGACACCACGACAGTCGCATGCGATCCCGCGCTAAACAGGCATCTTCTTGCCTGTGCCTCTCCGCGTGATACGGTTCATGTGCCGTTTCTGTGCCTATGTGAGGGGGACGGCATTTTCGGCGTCCTCGCAAGCGCCCTTTACCAGCGATTGGCTTGCGGTATCAAGACACCAATCGTCGGGTTGACATATCATTATGGCTCGCCCGTATTACGGGTCCTGGTGGCTTGGATCGGAGAATGTGATGCACCAGATGGTTCCTTGGTATGGCCATGTTGATTCATGTAGACCACCCTCTCACGCTTCTTCGCCAGCCTCCCGTGCATATCGCATATGAAGACAACTCTGGCCATCCGCTTTCATTTGGCGTATTTGATCTTCACCATCCTGTCGGATCCTTACGGCTTGCATCGTTCGTTCTCGCTTGACGGGATCATATGGCCTGCCTGCCCGAGCCGCAATCTACCAGTCCTCCCACCGTGCCATTTTCTTGGCGCTCGGATCTCGACCCAATGGAGGAGAACAATAGCGATTCGGACGATTCTACGTGCTCTATAGCTACTTGGGTGCAGAACATGGCAGATGCAACCCGTGATTCTGACGAGTGAGCGATATTTCTCCTGCTGTATATGTACCCCATAATCTCGCAGATTCTCAATCTGTCCTGTTCCTGTCAGTCCGCAATCTGTTGCTCTTGTAAAAGCTATGGCGCCCAGACAGGTGCAGACCAGAGCCTCTGGCTCCACGTGGTGCGTCTCGTAGACACTTGAAAATACTATCCTCTGATGCCGACTCCTCTGATGCCGACTAGGTCGGGGGGAAGCTCTGGTGGTCCGCGGTACGTACATTGGTGATCAGCGCTATCGTCCCGAATCGAATAATAGGTGTTGCAGGCTTAAAGTAATTGAGGAAGACATTGCAAGTGGTAGAGACGACACAGATGAGGAAGACGACACTGGACCTCCGAGGTCGTCGAGGGGGAGAGAAGGGGCACCGACTGAAGCTGGGAGAAGTCGGCTTTCCTGTTCTGAGTTCGTAATGCTCCATTCTGCCAGTGTTCTACGGTTACTTAATCTCCCGTAACATATCTAGCTTTGCAAAGGGAAGAAAGGCCATATGGGGCCAAACACGGGACAAACATATTTTATTATGGATGGCTGATAGATCAGCTGTCCTCTCGGGGTTCCAAGGAGAGAACTCCAACTATGCTGTCCGCAAATATGAGGAGTACGCCACGTTCCAGTGGCCCACCGAATGGGAGACATTCGTATGATGACCTATTATCCATATATCTCCTTACTAACGCTGGTATGCAGGAGAAGATGCCGGCGGTTGATCCCTTAGTCGAGGATCTGAAACGAGACCTTTTTATGGTTTTTCAGGCAAGGCAGCGTGACGCCAAGGCACCTGCGGCTTCACCATCTTCGGGAAGCGTCTACGAAATGATATCTGCAAAACTGTCGTTCATTCTGCATGTATGCCGTTCCGTCCGCCAAAGCCGTCTCGCCCCTTCCGATGCACCGAACTCTTATGAGTTCGAAACGAGACTTGAGTGGGACATCCTTGTGAGAGAAATCATGAGATCCGATGATGTTTGTCCCCTGTAGGTATTCATATTCTCGCTGGTCTTTTGTCGTCTGACGCTTTTGCATTCGCAGGCCGGAACGTACTCTTCGCTTGCCCAAGAACATTAACATGGAAAACGACTTTAGCGAGGCGTACCGGGGTGCAGTCGGAACAGCCTTGCTAGCTCAGGCCAACTTGTTCTCTTCCGCCAGCGGGGCCAGAGTTGGCAGGGAAAAGACTCACTTCCGCAGCTATGCTGGTCGCATGGCCGAGGCGGCGTCTAGTCTGCTTAATGAAGGATATGACGTACCAGGTGAAGAAGATGCTGCGCGCAGCCAGGAAGAACCTAAGTCCGGCAGGTGTGATAACATCTGCTCGTTCAAGTTTCGGGGCTTCTATCCGCCTGGAAGAGATGACATATACAAGTTTCACCGTCTCATCATTCAGAACGATTCGAAAATGTCTCCTCCGGACCCTTCGGAGGGACAGCAGCCAGAACCACTCAAGGCTTCCAAGACTCGCGTTCGCCCAGAGGAAAACCTACGCCCGGATAGTATCTTTGGCAGTAGTCGCAACGAGTCGCAGTATACGAAAGCGAACTCGGAGCAGGCATCGGCAGTCCCGACCACACCCACGGACGAGACGAGACCGAAGACCGCAGGTGCGGAGACACCTGGAACGTCGGATGTGGAGGCATCTGATAGCCTATACGCCCCGCTTCTCATGGTCGAGTACAAGAAGAAGCACGATGCGAACCACGTCGCTACCGCCACCAACCAATGTCGTATGTATACGGTGGCGGCATCGAAATTTCTTGCGCATCTCGGAATCTGCGAATTCCCTACCTTTGGACTTATCGGCACTGGTTCGATAGGCGCAGTCACCTGCACCTACACAATGCCAGCGCCGGCTCAGGTACGCTCAAATACCTCAGGTGCCACTATTGAACAGACAGACGACCTGGTACGATATCATCCTCGAATGTCTGATCGTGAGCTAAAGGGCTGCTTATTAGGAAATTACGTATGTTGTGGAAGCTGGGGCTCGTCTCTTCGACCTTTCAACCCCCATTGGTGTATTCCATTTCTCCACGTTCTTGTGCATGCTCTTGCACGACCATGCCAAAGATATGAAGGCCAAGCTAGCTGAAGCTAGGCCAGACTTCCACACCATGTGTCGTGATGAAGGCCAGAAAGTAGTCTGGACTCGAGACATGCAGCCGGATGTGCTTCAGGCCGTATCCGATGCCGTTGGGAAGACGGATCCTCCCTCTGATACTTCATCGGCTGTTCAGGAGTCGTGATCCTCTGACCATCCTGATTTCCCTGCCTCCTTAGGAACAGACATAACGACATGTAGTTGCCAACGATGCTTGAACTCATGACTCTGCGATATTGCGCCAAAGGGTCAGACCGTTGGGTTCATCGATGCTGGAAAGGCGGTCCGGTCTGACTTGGAAACACTCAAAAAGGTAGATGCCGATGAAATGGGTGTTACATCGCTGAGTGGTTAGTACTCTGAAATGCAGACGTACATTCTAAGTACAGATGGGACGTTACACGACGGAGTAGTGCAGTGGAAGAGACAATGGATTGGCATAATGCCGTGACCTATTCAAAAACGACTTAAACCTCCACCGGCAGGGCGTCGAATCCGAAGTACGAGAAGTCCTGTTTGTGCGGTCGACCTTCTTCTACTGTCCCAGTTTCCACTTGCATACGATTACCGGCTGCCGGTGGCTTGATCAAGTCGTCCAGACGTGCGGCCACTCGATCGGCAGCTTCGCGCATCCCTCCGAGGTTGAACGCGCCAGGACCCATCTGAAATCCGCCGTGGCAGTTCAAGTCAGAATCGGACAGCCATTGAGAGTGTATTCGTACCTGAATAGCAGAATATGCACCAACACAGAAGAGAGGGATGTCTTTGGTGTATTGCAGATCCGCCGTCAAGACAGGCAGCCCTCCAAACTCCTTAATTGGGTGCTTCTTGCTGAAGTCACGCACAAACGGCAAAGAGGAGAAACCGAGTTGAGCTTCCGTCGCAGAGAGAATGAAGTCGTACGATCGCGTACTCCGCTCACCCCCCGGGTACGCAGGACGCCAGCTTGACACACCACGCACCATTGATCCACTCCACGGCATCGACCACCGTATGCGTGAGGACCCTCGCCTTGCCCTGCTCCTGCAACTTCTTCAACACGCGCGCATACACGGGGTTGATGCTCCCGCCGTTCCGCGCCTCGCGCATCATCCTCGCGCGGTCCTCGACGTTGTCCAGCTGCCAGAACCGCATCTTCTCGATATTCGCGTAGCGGCCGACCCACTCCAGGTCGAAGTCGAACGGCTTGACCTTGAGGTGCCCGCGCATGACCAGCGTGACGTGCTCGTACCCGTGCGCGAGCGTGAGCGGCACGAGCTGCGCGGACGTGAGCCCGCCGCCGATGACGAGCAGGCGCCGGGTCTTGGACGGCCGGGGTAAGCGGAATGCCGGGTTTGCGAGGGCAGCCGAGTGGGCCCACCCACGCCCCCATGGCTGGGAATGTTTGTCGTCTGGGGGATGCAAGTACGGTGGGATGTTAGGTATGCCACCGGTACCGACGGCAGATACGACTGCTTTGGCCACTACCATCGACCCGTCGTCGAGACAGACCCTGAACTGCGGGCCCTCGACCCCGACCCCAACGTCCTCGCCCTCATCGTCCCACTCTAAGCGGCTCACACTGCCTTTGACAAGGTCGACTGGAGGCCGGTCGATGTCCTCTCCGGGCTCGGCATCAAGGAGCTCCGCCATTGTCTTCCACTCACCCTCGAGTCCGTACCTGCGTACGACGCTCTCATCGACAAAGTCCTCGAATAGAGCGCTGGAGGGCGTGAAGTAATCCCTACGCCCTAGCTCGTTGACCGGTGGACCCATCGCCGAAATTCGTTTACCTTTCCGTTCGGTCTTCATGCGGTGTTTCGACTTCTCGCTGCCCACCACCCCGGGAATAGCAATGAGCTCTGATAGTCCGCGGACAAGATCTTGCCCTTCACCGACCATAGGCCGGCAGCACGCGTCGACGATCTCGTCAATGCAGCCCTCCTGCGAGCGCTCCTCACGCTGTGCATACGCGAGGAGAGCGTCAAAGTCTGACGGGTCGAGGTGGAAGAACATGGGCGAGCGGAGGTACGGGATACGGTATGCGCGGAATAATACGCGCCAGTGTTCCAGCCAGCCACCAAGCTTGTCGATTATGAGGATGCGGAAACCTTTACCTGGGCGCGGGTGGCTCCCCGCGGGCTTCGTGGAGCCAACTTTACGCTTACGACCATTACGCGAGGGAATGAGAGCCGCGTCATTCCTGAGAGAAAGCCAGTGCAGGTGCCGACGTTCGCCTTCGGTGTACAGAGCTGCGGGGCGCACCTCGAAGATCCGCGAGACCAAGGCAAGAGCGGCGGGCCCGGAGCCGATGACTACCAGGTCGTAGAATACGTCTGCATCGCGTCGGGCATGGTCTTCTACGTCGGAGCTTGGGGGAGTTGATGGGCTGGAGGCTGCGGTAGACGTGCCGGCCGACTGGTCCGTCGCCAGGTCGGGTGTCTGGTCGAGCTCGGGCGTGATCCGGTTGGAAGGGAGCAGCTTGACTTTCATGGCGTAGGATATGCTATGGAGGATTTGCTGCCTCGGGAGATAACAGCAAAATTATATAACCTCTTGTACCGACGCCATCATTATTGACCGTCGAGAGAGTGAGTACCTTTGCGGTCAAAGCCAGAGCCCACCTCACAAGTCGCGTGAGCACAAGGCTAGCCTCTCACATTTTGGTGCGAAAATTCCCAATAAACAGAGTGGATTCCAAAGCGTTCCATTGTGCGCCCGTTGATGCCTTTTCATCCGGACCTGTGTGCTTGATACGGCGTTATAAGTATGTCTCCAATGAGAGTTCAGGCGTACATTAGTTCATACCTCGCGTGTTACGGTGTTGGTACCTCAACGCAAGGGAATATGTGTAATAAATGTGCAAAAATTCGTACTCTGCGTTGGTTATGATACCGACACTCAAGGAACAAAAGCTTCACCCTTGCAACTTGAGGAAGACAGCGGCATTTCAATCGGGCAGGCAAGGGCTTATGGCGACGTGAGACAACTCGGCTTTTACCGGTTCAGCCCGTGGACTTCCTGAAGACCCCGGCATACTGGTATATATGTTTGATCCTAGTGCGGACATAAACGGCCAATTTTGAGGCCCTATGTCGGATATTTAGGCGGACATAAAGCCCAAAATTTCGGTCCATGTCCGGTATATCACGGCGGACACAAGGGCCTTGCCGGTCTTGGTGTCCGATCACCTGGCGGACATACCAAGTCGTCGAAGTGTCACACCCAGTAGTCCTTGTACTAGGTTGAGTGGTGTCTCTTATGCTTCTCAGTCAACTGTCAGCTCGTCTCGTGTATATCCAGGTATATCCTCAGCAACGGTGAATGAAATGCAAGCTTTGGAGACAGTGGTGGATCTTAGGAAGACTGAAATACAATATCCCGGAGTAATCATGTCACGATCTACTCGTTGCAGCGTTGGGCGTGTGCCGGTTTCGAGGTTGGATCCGTT